CAAAAAATTAGCATATTGTGATAAAGTTCATTATTTTCCATAATGTAATGATACAAATTAAACTTTCATATATTTTAGATTCATTGCACACCAACTGAAATATTTCAGGTCTTTTATTGTTTTAATACTGATGATTTTGGCATACAGCTCATGAAAACCCCAAATTCCTATCTCAAAAAATTAGCATATCATGAAAAGGGTCTCTAAACGAGCTATTAACCTAATCATCTGAATCAACTAATTAACTCTAAACAACTGCAAAAGATTCCTGAGGCTTTTAAAAACTCCCAGCCTGTTTCATTACTCAAAACCGCAATCATGGGTAAGACTGCCGACCTGACTGCTGTCCAGAAGGCCATCGTTGACACCCTCAAGCAAGAGGGTAAGACACAGAAATAAATTTCTGAACAAATAGGCTGTTCCCAGAGTGCTGTATCAAGGCACCTAAGTGGGAAATCTGTGGGAAGGAAAAAGTGTGGCAAAAAACGCTGCACAATGAGAAGAGGTGACCGGACCCTGAGGAAGATTGTGGAGAAGGACCAATTCCAGACCTTGGGGGACCTGCGGAAGCAGTGGACTGAGTCTGGAGTAGAAACATCCAGAGCCACCGTGCACAGGCGTGTGCAGGAAATGGGCTACAGGTGCCGCATTCCCCAGGTCAAGCCACTTTTGAACCAGAAACAGCGGCAGAAGCACCTGACCTGGGCTACAGAGAAGCAGCACTGGACTGTTGCTCAGTTTTGCATGTCATTCGGAAATCAAGGTGCCAGAGTCTGGAGGAAGACTGGGGAGAAGGAAATGCCAAAATGCCTGAAGTCCAGTGTCAAGTACCCACAGTCAGTGATGGTCTGGGGTGCCATGTCAGCTGCTGGTGTTGGTGCGCTGTGTTTTATCAAGGGCAGGGTCAATGCAGCTAGCTATCAGGAGATTTTGGAGCACTTCATGCTTCCATCTGCTGAAAAGCTTTATGGAGATGAAGATTTCATTTTTCAGCACGACCTGGCACCTGCTCACAGTGCCAAAACCACTGGTAAATGGTTTACTGACCATGGTATTACTGTGCTCAATTGGCCTGCCAACTCTCCTGACCTGAACCCCAAAGAGAATATGTGGGATATTGTGAAGAGAAAGTTGAGAGACGCAAGACCCAACACTCTGGATGAGCTTAAGGCCGCTATCGAAGCATCCTGGGCCTCCATAACACCTCAGCAGTGCCACAGGCTGATTGCCTCCATGCCACTACGCATTGAAGCAGTCATTTCTGCAAAAGGATTCCCGACCAAGTATTGACTATTAGGAACACCTGTTCAATTTCTCATTAATGCAATTATCTAATCAACCAATCACATGGCAGTTGCTTCAATGCATTTAGGGGTGTGGTACTGGTCAAGACAATCTCCTGAACTCCAAACTGAATGTCAGAATGGGAAAGAAAGGTGATTTAAGCAATTTTGAGCATAGCATGGTTGTTGGTGCCAGACGGGCCGGTCTGAGTATTTCACAATCTGCTCAGTTACTGGGATCTTCACGCACAACCATTTCTAGGGTTTACAAAGAATGGTGTGAAAAGGGAAAAACATCCAGTATGCGGCAGTCCGGTGGGCGAAAATGCTTTGTTGATGCTAGAGGTCAGAGGAGAATGGGCCGACTGATTCAAGCTGATAGAAGAGCAACTTTGACTGAAATAAGCACTCGTTACAACCGAGGTATGCAGCAAAGCATTTGTGAAGCCACAACACGCACATCCTTGAGGCGGATGGGCTACAACAGCAGAAGACCCCACCGGGTACCACTCATCTCCACTACAAATAAGAAAAAGAGGCTACAATTTGCAAGAGCTCACCACAATTGGACAGTTGAAGACTGGAAAAATGTTGCCTGGTCTGATGAGTCTCGATTTCTGTTGAGACATTCAGATGGTAGAGTCAGAATTTGGCGTAAACAGAATGAGAACATGGATCCATCATGCCTTGTTACCACTGTGTAGGCTGGTGGAGGTGGTGTAATGGTGTGGGGGATGTTTTCTTGGCACACTTTAGGCCCCTTGGTGCCAAATGGGCATCGTTTAAATGCCACGGCCTACCTGAGCATTGTTTCTGACCATGTCCATTCCTTTATGGCCACCATGTACCCATCCTCTGATGGCTACTTCCAGCAGGATAATGCACCATGTCACAAAGCTCGAATCATTTCAAATTGGTTTCTTGAACATGACAATGAGTTCACTGTACTAAAATGGCCCCCACAGTCACCAGATCTCAACCCAATAGAGCATCTTTGGGATGTCGTGGAACGGGAGCTTCGTGCCCTGGATTTGCATCCCACAAATCTCCATCAACTGCAAGATGCTATCCTATCAATATGGGCCAAGATTTCTAAAGAATGCTTTCAGCACCTTGTTGAATCAATGCCACATAGAATAGCTGGGTTTCAGTCACGTGATTATGATGACGCGCGGAATTCAGATGGAGGGCAGGGAGTGAAGAGCGCAATGGACGAGATGGAGGAAAGTCTGCACTGGACTACTTTACACGCTATTACAAGAGAAAGATATAAACAAAAAATCAAACATATGTTGTACGTGATCCTTACGTTATGCAGAGGAGCGATTTTTCAACTGAATTGAACGATTTTCCTGCCATCGAGGCGGTAGATATCAGCAACTACCTCGTCTTACAGACATACTTTGACTTTACAAAGTTCGGAAACGTTACACGTTAACTTACACGTTACACAAACATAGCCACTTAAGTTGTATTAACTCGCCTTTGACGAAGTGATCACTGCACAGACGGGCATTTTCCCATTCGGCTCCTCCCGACCGCAGACGTAGGTTTGCAAGCCGTTTTTCTGAGTTTTTTGGTCAATTTCTTGCATTTCCCCCCTTATGAACAACAACTTTTGGTACACGATAAAAACTCCTCGTGGTTTGATCGATTTAAGTAACCATAAACGACGCAAAACATAGGCATTTTGAGTTTGTTATAAATACAGCAAATCACTTCCTGCCCTCCATTTGCATTTCGCGCCATGGCAACGCAGTGGCGTGACGTCATATGAAAACAAGCTATTAAGGCAGTTCTGAAGGCGAAAGGGGGTCAAACACAGTATTAGTATGGTGTTCCTAATAATCCTTTAGGTGAGTGTGTATATATATATATATATATATATAGGCTATATATATATATATATAACATGAAAGGCCACGACTGTGATATTAATATAAAATTAAAACGATTTAATAAGAACAAAGGTTTGTTGGACACAATTGACAGTTAAATTAATTACTGGTTTACTGTTGATTACTAAAGGTAACGTAAAGATGTATAGATTACTTTTTTTTAACCTGTGAAATAGTTTCCGCGCTCCTGACCAAATTAGAGAAAATGATCAGGCATTATTTTAGCAGTAACAAGTTATCGATCACCTGTGCCAAAGTAAATTGGATCTGGAAAGCAGAATGTCCTCATTCAACTACAAATTTACAAACTATTCATTAACACATCGATAAGCAAACCTCTTCTCAACCACAATGCCGTATCGTCTGACTCTTTACTGACTGTATTGTCACTAAACCTAATAAAATAAACGCCGGTGAATAAACAAGCTGTTAGAAGGAGACCACGACTTTAAAAATCCCCGAGTGGCCGGTTAAAGCGACTGATTGAATAATTCGTGGTCTTTCTTTATCTCCAATGTAGATCCTATTTTTGGGATGGCGACATCAGTGAAAGTTACTTACATGGAAAGAACCACAGTGACTCAGAATTTTGCTTGGATTCTGTGTCTGCATTGTTCCAGATATGATGTGTATACGCGGTTAATCGTGATTTCAACAGCTGTTTAAAATGTCCAATGAGTCAGATCTATTGATAGCATAGACGATTGATAGATATAGGTTCACAAAATGTTATAGTTGCTGTTTAAAACCTCAATGGTCGTGTAGGTTGTGCTGCCATCGCGTGGCTGGAGCATTATTCGCCGTATGGCACTATTAGCATTAGCATCGTGAGTAAACAACCGGAGTAATGCAGTTGTTTTTCACTAGGCTTCCATGAAGTTGTTCCGTGATCGAACGTCTGGATAATGTAACATTAGAACTGCCATAATTATTTAGCTAAATATATTTAAAGCTCGTAAATCACTTAAAATGTCTATGCTGTTAGCTTTATCTGTCAACGTATATCAAAATCACGGAAATACTTGGACAGTTCTGCATTATTTGCGGGATTCCAAAATCCAAATGTTTTGAGTATAGAAATGAGTTAAATGAGGTCATGATGAGTAATGCTGTTATTTATTAATGACTGACTGCGGCATTCTTGAAAAGAAAATTTCATCGCGTCGGCACAGGGCGCCGTGGCTTAGTTGGTTAAAGCGCCTGTCTAGTAAACAGGAGATCCTGGGTTCGAATCCCAGCGGTGCCTTTTCGTGTCTGTGTGGTAATTTTATAGAATAGAATTAGACATCCATTGGTTACTGTGCTTGTGGTTATTCTTTTGGAACAAGTACTGTCTATCTGACATTATGAAAATATATTATTCTGAAAATACAATTGATTGGGTTGTGTATATTACTCTTCAATTCATGACTGCTTTAACCTGTAATGAAAACCATTTATTCTAATAAGACGAGATAATTACAGCAAAAGTCTTGATCAGTGTTTCCCAACCTTTTATGTCTTAGAACATCATTAAGCCCCACACACAACGTCAAATCTGAAATGTGCTCTTTTTAACAAGATATCCTTACTGGGCTGTACGTTAACTTCTTTTGCAATTAGCACTAGTGCTACATACAGAGGTTGAAAGTTTTGTAGCACAGGTCACACAATTGTAGCAAAAGTATAAAACGTCTGTTACATCTCTGAAAATAACCACAAGTAGTGCAACATGCATGATGTGAACACACAATACAAACCTTAACAAGAAATGTTTTCAGACACAAAATGACTGCAGGAACATAACACCTCTTGCTTAGCATTAAGTCAATTTTGTTTATATAGCCCAATATCACTAATCACAATCCAAACAACATGCATCAAATCTTTCCAAGTATCCCCTGGAACCTGCTTAAAAGGACAGTTCACCCAAAAATGAAAATTCTGTCATCATTTACTTATGTCATTACAAATCTGTATTTTCTCCGGTGGAACACAAAGGAAGTTTTATTTTGAAAAATATATTTTAAATAATGTTGGTAACCAAAGAGTTAAGATGACTTAACTTCCATTGTGTGGACAAAAAACAAACAAACAGATATTTCTCAAAATATATACTTTTATGTTTCCACAAAAAAGTCATACATGTTTGGAATGACATAATTCACATACAACAATTTTATTTTATTTTTTTGGGTGCATCTATAAGCATTCCTTGGGGTTGGGGATCTCTGTTCTTGATTACATGCTTTTTAGATGATGACATGAATTATTTTAACATGCTATAAGTGCATATTGTTTAAGATCAATTATGGTTTATTATTTTAAAAGTAGCTTATTACAATCAACAAGATTAGAAACTGAAGATATTTTGGCTCATAAAAATAAAAGTATGGTTAGATTTTTTTATAAAATAATTGATAAACATTAGTTAAAATATTGAACAAGTTGTTAATATCCTAATTTTACTTGCTACACTGGCATATGCCTATTAGCACCTGAATGATGGTATATTTTTCGATCACAGCTTACATTTGTTTTTTAACAGCCAGAGGCTTCTGCAGCTGCTGGCCATGCAAATCGTGCACCTTCCAGTCCATGTTTTCGAGGACAGTGTAGTTGTAGGTCTTGTAATTGAGCATGTCTCGGGCACGGAACACCTTGTTGGATTCGTACAGGTTGCTCCAATAGCATGGGAGGGGTTGGAATCCCCCCAGGCGGGCGAGCTCGTCATTATAGGCCCACTGCTCAGAATCCAGTTTAAGGATATGGCGGTTGGCAATCCCACGGGCACGACGGGCGGCAATGTCCAACTCAATATCATTCTCCATTTCCTCACGTGAAGGCAGGGGGAAAGAACCATCCAACACTGACAGGACAAACTGAGACTGAGGGAAAAAGTGAGGAAACAAGAAAGAGGATGTATTTTGAAATAAGAATTGAATAATAACTTGGTAACACTTTACAATAATGTCTCATTATTAGTTACCAATAGTACCAATAGTAAATGTTGAAATGAACATTACTTGAGACTATTAAATGTTTTAGAAGTATTTTTCATTGTTAGTTCATTTTAAGTAATGAAGATAACCCATGGGGTCAGGCAAAACATCACTTCCTGATATAGATATTCTACGCAAAGTGATAATGTCACTGATCACTATCTTATAAGGTGTGTACTGCTAACATTTGCCATATGGCTCCGTGTTTTAAGCCAGGTAGAACTATTACCCTAACCACACATTAAAGGCACACCGCGGAACTTTTGGCCACTAGTGGCGCTCGACCTGTAACTTTCACGTCTAGCGTCCCTAGAGGCCACAAGCTCCGCAGCACTGTCGCAAAAGTCAACAAACAGTCAACCGGTCAGCCCATAGACAGTGGGTCAGCCTCCCGTGTCTTTAGATTGTGTGTGCTTGCAGTGTTTGAGGCGGGCAGCCTTGCCGCGCTCGATTCCCTTATAGCAGTCTGCTGAGAGAGAGCGAGCCCCGTGGGGCTTAGTGCTAACATGTCTGTAAGTGAATGTGGGCGCGGGACGGCGGGCACATTTACTGCACTAAAAACACCGTCGGGGGGGGGGGGGGGGGTCGTAATGCATAGATTTAAATATTGGGGGGGTTATACCCCCCCCATCCCCCCCATCCCCCCCACAAATTACGCCCCTGCATTTGTCACTATGCCTTTTTCTTTTTTTTGTGTGTCCTCTGACAAAACCTTTGCCTTCTTCCTTGTAGCTGTTGGTTCGGCCATGACGAAAACATACAGACGGCAATCAAACGCGAGTTGAGCACTCACGTCAGAATCTGAGTTAGTTGTGGGTGGTGGGGGAAGTGACGTATGCCGTAAAGCGGTTGAATTTTGTAGTTCTTTTTGTGCTCGGGTTCCTACCCGAAACCCGAAGTTACATAGTGCTAGGAAAAGCGATACAGACACCTTCAGGCTACGGCAGACGTGTCATTCAACCTATTGTAAGTCGATGTACCATCTCAATGGGTTTTGGTAATATATTATAAAGGTTGAAAAGTTCCACAGTGTGCCTTTAAGAAACCACAACTAGATCCAAATGAATTGGCAAATTACAGACCCATTTCAAATCTTCCATTTATGTCTTAAATACTACAAAAAGTTGTGTCTGGTCGATTGTACTCTTTCTTGCAAAAAAATATAAAAATTCTATAAAAAATTCAGTCAGGATTCAGACCCCATCATAGCACAGAAACTGCACTTGTTAAAATTACAAATGACTTCCTTCTGGCTTCTGACCAAGGCTGCATCTCAATACTACTGTTTTACTGATCACAACCTACTCTTAAATAGATTACAAAATTACATTGGTATTCAGGGGCAGCCATTAAGGAGGTTTATAGTACCTGTTTATAGTATCTGATGGTTACCATTTTGTTTTTTTAAACAGGAAATTATCCAAGTTAATGTCAGTAAATTATGGAGTGCTGCAAGGATCTGTTTTAGGCCCTCTGCTATTTACAGTATACATGCTGTCCCTTGGTATTAGTATCTACTGTTATGCTGATGATGCTCAAATTATATTTCATCACGACCCAATGAAATCTCTAAACTATCCAAGTTGACAGTGTGTAAAATATATAAAATATTGGATGATCAGTAATTTTATTCTATTAAATTCAGATAAGACTGAGGTATTATTTATTGGACAAAAAACCTGTACACAGAATCTCTTAAAATACAATTTGCATCTGGAAGGCTGTACTGTTACTTCATCCCTTCATACTGAGTCTACATCCTCTACATTGTTTGCTTCAGAAGGCCTTTATTAATCCCCTGGAGCCATGTTGATTTCTTTTATGATGGATGCAAGTGCTTTTTGGGGCTTCAAACTAAAATGTTAACATTCACTGCCATTATAAAGCTTGGAAGAGCCAGGATATTTTTTAATATAACTCCGATTGTGTTTGGCTGAAAGAAGAAAGTCATATAGAATGGCTTGAGGCTGAGTAAATGATGGGATAATTTCCATTTTTGGGTGAACTAACCCTTTAAGGTCAAAAAACGCATTTTAAATAGTGTCTCTTGTAGCGGCGCGCGCGCAGTCTTCACTCGGACGCGCTCTTCAATCTATCGCAGTTGCGGAGACTCTATTCATTCCGGTGAAATCACAAAATAAAATGCACAAAAACGTGTCCCTGCTTGATATAGACAGTAACCACTGATGAACATATTCAGTTTGATGAGAGAGAAAAAACTTAGAACCTGTAACCTCTGACACGCTTGGCAAAAGATCTACCACTAGACCATTAAAGAACTCAAACAAAACTTGCGGATCGATGCATTTATTTACGGGTTGAGAGGCTCATTCTCTTTTCCTTTTCCTAGTCTCTTTCGAACCGCGTTTTCTTTGCTTTTTCCATCGTCGAGTATCACGCCTGAAATGCGCGCAAGTGTCTTCGTGCTTCATGTTGTGGTTGATGTGTGTGACGTCGTTGCCGTAAAGCATGTCGTGATTCTCGCGAGATTTGTCGGGGCCGCTCCTCTCAAACTTGCATTGCTGGTTTTTCCAGCAGCGTCCCCCCCAAGCTTTACTACCAGGATGATTCGCCCTACTATGAGTTTGTTTACCACCGAAATGACTTTGAAGCTGTTATATTAAGGTACAATTCTTGCATAGTGTGCCTTTAATCAACATGCACCACTGCCAAAATTTCTATATATTTTAATCATTACAATCATAATTGCTTTAATGAGCTCATTGTTTCTGGCTAAATGAATTACAGAAATACCTCAGTCACACATATTCCCTCAAACAAAAATATCCTTCGCAACTAACCTGAATATGGAAATGTGGGAAGGGGCATATAGCTCTGCAGATGCCCACTATAAAGAGTGATGGGTAGGCCGGAGGTATTAGGAACTTATAGAGAGGCCAGACGAGGTGCTCCTGCACTTTTACACCCACTTTCTCGTCCAGGAATGGGAAGGTGAAGTTGTAGCCTGTACAAAACAGGAACACCTCTGGCTTGGCCCTCTCCCCGTCCTTGAACTCTAGAGTCCCATCATCCAGTACAGAGGTTACTGGAGGAGCCTGCTGGACTCCTGGAGGAAGGGAGCAGGTCAAAGGCCGCTGTCCATGACTCAGGATCACCTGGAGGTAAATAAAGGGAAATATGCTAAGAATTTCCAGATAAAATACTTTGGATGTTTGCATTAAACACACAAACATCTATAAAAGCAAAAGAACAAGTTGTGTTCCGATTCTCCGAACACAACAAACTAGTTTTTAGGAGGCAAATGACAAGTGAAAACATGTTCTAAAACCAGATCAAACATGTTTGATATCCTCCGACTGGATGGAATCAAAATCTGTGCCCATCATACACTACACTTCTCTGTGAAATCTGTAAATTCCGACTGCTCAAAAAATTAGCTGACTGGCTGATTTTCGGCAAATAATGTTGACTTGTCAAGACTGCAAATCTGGGCACAATCTGTGCAAAATTCATGTAGTATTTTCCAGACTTAAGTCAAACATGCATCATTACAAATAGCTAAACAATTTAACACTGTGAAGGACCTTAGCATTAACACTGGAGAGCTCCATGGCAATATCAAGTCCAGAGAGACCCGCTCCGAGCAGCACCACTGACTTTCCCGCCAAAGGTTCAGCACTACGGTAATCATGACTGTGCATCAGCGTCCCTAAAAAAGAAACATTAGGAATTTTTTTTTTTTTTTTTTGTGAAAAGTTGTATAAACTAAACTAAATAATTAATTCCCACGCCCAACTTGCACAGGTTGCTAATTAAAAAATATTTGAGTTATGCAATTTTGAGTAGTTGGATTCATACATTTTCTAGTTTATATTGTACTTTCATCCCACTCACCTATCAATGATTTGGGTATGTGCAAGGCACAAAATTTATATTGAAAAGTTAAGCAATTACAACAATTACTAAAACTGCAACCCTAAAGCAATTACAACAATTACTAAAACTGCAACCCTAAAGCAAGCATGCATTATGTGTAGGCTACAAAAAAAATTCATTAATAAATTGACATACATAGCATTTCTATTATTGAATATGAAACAATAAATCCTTGACTGCTCATTGCACATTGTAAAATGGATAACAAATACTCCAATTTTAACATCATTAGAAACATAATGGTTTAATCTCCAATTTCTAATGCAATAGATGTTTGATAAATGTTAAGAAATATAATGATTAACCAAAACTGGGTCTAGTCTCTAACCAAAGCCACGGTTATATCTAAAGCATTTCTCAGTAGACCCCCATGCTGATAAACTGATAACATGTTGCAACAGCTAAGGGCACTTTAGGCATTTGCAAGTCCAAGCACATTTTCAAAGGTGTTTTGTTGCTAAGCACACACTTGGTTTGCAAGACACTAGATTCTTTCGATTCACTTTGCAAAAGTAAAAACGTATAATGTAGTGTAAGGAATGGAAAACCTTTGAATTTTTCCAGTCCAGGTATTGCAGGGATGTAGGAGTCATAGAAATGTCTGAAATAGACACACATAATTTAATTTGTAAGACTCCATTTGTAATAATTTTCTCATCTGATTACATAACCACATCTTACATGGGAAAATTGGCACAGTATACAAGTAAAAGTGCAATACAGTTTCATTGCATCATTAGTTACTGTTTAATCCTCTGTACCCAATGGCCTTATTGATCTAGTCATACATTTGAACTATGTTGCTCATTGGAAGGTTTTGCAGCCATGGGTCACTCATTTGGCTGTGTGCACTTACCCATTACACACCATAACAGCATCAAATCGCTCTGTAGTGGATTTGCTGTGGTCTAGGCCATCATTGGAGGTGACATTCCAAGCCAACCCATTCCACCCACCCTTCACATCTACTGGGGTCACTGAGGCCACTGAGGTGCCAAACTTGGTGGAAGAGAGGAATACACCTATCAGTACTTTTTTTTTTATCAAGACTGATGGTTATCAAGCAAATTAATGAATCACCAACATTCAGTCCTTTGAAAAGGTGGCTCTAGTAGTTTTCCACAATTCTATAGACCGATCATAAATGTACAGTAAAGATAAGGTATGTGATTTCTGACAGGACTGACTGGTCATAAACAGTGAAATTAATGATTATCTGTCAAACCATGCAAGGAGCAAGAATTGACCTGACATGTTGAACATGAACAAAGGGGTATTTGAAAATGTAAGAAATGGGCTAAATGTATTTTTTCACCTTGATGTGGTCCCACAGGCGAAAATGATCACAGTACTGCTCAAGGTACTTCCGTACCTCTGTGTGATGGACAAAAGAGGGGAGATGCTTTGCGAAAGGAAAGTCAGGGAACGACATCACCTCTTTGGGAATATTGGTTCTATCATGTGAGGAGAATACATGACAACACATTATAAAACTACAATATACAGCTTTATACACTTAAAATATTTCACAGGCTAGTTATACTTCAAGAAGAGCTTAAGAGGAAAGACAAATCACAGAATAAAATAAAAATAGTGGATTTACATTACATTTCAATAAAAAAAATAATTATCATGACATAGTAAGATTGGTTACAATACTGATTGACTGATTTGAATTTACTATGGGTCGTCAATCCATACACTGCATTGTAATAAATATATTTTATTTCAGTTAAATAGCACTATAAAAGAATAACCACTGGCACTGATAAATTCACCTGAGGTCCCTGTACATGCTGCTGTGAATCGGTAAGCCATTGTCGTAACACCCCACTCTTTCCTCATAGACCCACGTTCCTCCAATGCTCTTGGTGATCTCGTATACCACAGGTGGCGCGAAAGTGTCCGGGCGAGAGAGGAGATGGCGGGCCGCGCAGAGTCCCGCACCACCGGCCCCGATAACAGCGACGCGCAGCTTCCCAAAGCCGGCCATCCTTATGCAAAATGCGGGTATGAACTAAGAAGTTGACACCTGACAAAATAGACGCAGATGCCTTGGTGAAACCAGTCTAGATTGATCTAAATTATCTGCTTACTGGTAATCTACTGATGTCCTCGGTTGATCAGTACTGAGGTCTGTCAGTATGTCAGCGATTGTGAAATGCTCGTCTAATTACATCGAAGACGTGTTGGAATCATACCCAGTCAATCAAATTAACCCTTCGTGGTTTGATGTCACATTTTCATTACAAATTGACTTAAAACCTTAGATATTAATTAAAGATAGCTGTATGTGTGTCTGCATTTTAAATGTAGCTACGTCATAATTTTAACTAAATTTAGGGAGAAAATAAGTTACGTGGCCAAAGTAAGTGAACACTTATTTCCACATAGCCTACATCCATGATCATAAACAGCAAAGAGATCTACATAAAGGCATTCTGAGGTAACTTTCATTTATCAGTATTTGTTCAAAAGTTAAAAATGAATTGCAGTTTGCTTGATAAATTTGTAACTGCAATAGTTATTTTCAGTATTCCACCAATCCACACCTGAACATTGATAGAGTTACTACCATGTGTCGTTTCTTGTTGGATTCAGCGTTTTCTTTTTAAAAAACCAACATACTTCACATTCACACACACTTTTCTGACATGTGACTGCAATTTTCACTTCCTCAAAACAATAAATTTTCCGCTGCGAGCAGGGTTCGAACCTGCGCGGGGAGACCCCATTGGATTTCAAGTCCAACGCCTTAACCACTCGGCCATCGCAGCGCCGGAAATTAACTTCTTAACTACTTCGTTTACTGTTGAAAACTAACTGTATTTTGTATTGTAATTACTTGGATAAATTGATTAAAATTACTTTATTAAAATTGCAAAGGCCCCGCGCAAATTCAAACGTAACACAGCCTAGCTTAAACTAGCCTTTACTAACCAAATAGCAAGCCGATGTTAATGTATTTTTTATTTATTGTCGATTAACTATTTTCACATCGATCATAAAAAAAAATGTATCGTTTGTATTTGGAGTTAATTAATTTACGCAATAAATCGTACCGTGAATCGATGCATAGGGCCAGGGGACAAACGCGGCTTCATCGGACCTCCAGCAAACATTTACAGGCTAGCAGCTAATGGTCTGGCCTACTTTCTCGTTTTAAACAGACATCACATGATAGTTTTGGTTGCCAGATGCCCTCCTCCCCCATTACATTTTTTTTGGGTGAAATTAATCAATCAATAAGCATGCTTGTTTCGATACAATAAACTACTCATTGTAATAAACAACTGTCTGATTTAATTAAACAGTTTCTATAAACGATTCAAATTTCTCAGATAGGCACGTCTAAAAATTACGAACGCACGTCACGGAAACTTGAGCGGCCAAAGAGCTGCCTACTGACTGACTGATGAGGTCGAAACCTAGGAGACTTTTGGCTTTTATCCACCTTTTAACTGCGTCGACTAGTAAAACCCACTTAGCATCTTAATTTCTTCTTGAGAAGAGTGTATCTACCCTTATTAGGCTATCCTTATTTAATTTAATTAAGCTTTAATGTGTCTTTTATGACCATGCAACTTTAAAACACAGACACTTGTCTTCTTAAGCAGCATTTACAAAATGACAGGAATTGTGCAGGAACGTGTTGGGATTTGAATGTACACGTTTCTTATAGCTATTTCGGTAAAACATACAAATAATATTAGGCTATTTAAGAATGAGATTGAGAACAATACATTGTTACAGTTTTTGTGAAAGAAAGTTTGGCAAGTGTGATTACGGAAAGTGTTTTTGCTATTGCAAGAAGTAAAGGCTGCTATGTGTAATTATTGCAAGTAGATAGGAACATTTAAAAAGTTGCCTGCATGGATGTTTCAGCTAACGTCCAGTAGGTGGAGGTATTTCACAGGAATAATGTCATAATCTACACATAAGAAATAAAGTCACAGGATACGTCCAGTTTACTATAATCAATTTACTCTGTATTGAATCTTTGGAGTTCTATCATTGTCTGTCACCACACATAACTAATAATAGCAACTCGCAGCACAAACAAATAATCATGTTTGTTATAGGAGTCAAATCTCTGTGTCTCTGAACTGATGACCTTGAATCAGCACCTGAAATGTCTGAACGATATTAATAACATTTCTGTTCCTTTCCATGATGGTAAGTGTTTCATATGAAAGAAACAATATCATGCTTTTTACATAAGAGAACTATTATGCTTGCTGTAAAGATTTTCTCAGAAAGGTAAAACCAGGAGACATATCAGTGCCCATAATGTTGGGAACAGAGAAAAGCCCTCTATAAAATTTATCAATCAAGAATAAAACTGATAATACAGCACAGTAGCTAGAATCAAATAATAATTGATAGAGTGCGTCAGAATTTGACCAGGTTGAGCCAATAATAACATGGTCAGCACCAATATGCCACATCCATGACTTAAGTGAGAAAGTCAAAAGGCTAAACCGCACCCAGTATCACAATGTGGCTTAGCCAAGCGGAGCTATTTGTACAAAGATCAATGCACTCTTCCCACATTTCACAAGTACATTGTTTAGTTTTGTTGCTGGCAACCACATATGTCATAACCACATGTAATGCCAATATAACATTTACAACCTTTTACACATGGCTACCCATAGAATCTAAAAATCAGACGTGGTTCTTGAAATTAAGACACTCACTGGACAACAGCCATTAACAAACAACCAATTTCCATAACACTCATTCAAATTTATGAAAACCAACATCTGCAGCATTTTAAAACAGCAATTCAACACAGACAGAAAAGCGCATCAAAGACTGTTCTTCCTCAGACACCTGAGAACATTTGAAGTCAGTCAGCACCACTTAGTTTGTTTTTTACCAAAGCCATTATAAAGCGTACTACGGAGCCCCCCTAGTCCCACTTTGTCAAAAAAAAATCTTATAACTATCTCGTGGCCTCAAGATAAGTAACTCGTGGCCTCAAGATAGTATCTCGTGGCCTCAAGATAGTATCTCGTGGCCTCAAGATAGTATCTCGTGGCCTCAAGATAGTATCTCGTGGCCTCAAGATAGTATCTCGTGGCCTCAAGATAGTATCTCGTGGCCTCAAGATACTATCTCGTGGCCTCAAGATACTATCTCTTGTCTTAAGATACTATCTCGTGGCCTCAAGATAGTAACTCGTGGCCTCAAGATAGTATCTCGTGGCCTCAAGATAGTATCTCGTGGCCTCAAAATACTATCTCGTGGCCTCAAGATACTATCTCGTGGCCTCAAGATAGTATCTCGTGGCCTCAAGATAGTATCTCGTGGCCTCAAAATACTATCTCGTGGCCTCAAGATACTATCTCGTGGCCTCAAGATAGTATCTCGTGGCCTCAAGATACTATCTCGTGGCCTCAAGATACTATCTCGTGGCCTCAAGATACTATCTCGTGGCCTCAAGATACTATCTCTACTATTTGTGGAAAATATATACAAAAAGGCAAACATGTACCAACAGCTTGTACTGCTCAAAACTTTAACAGCATAAAGTCGTCATGGCCCAAGGGTACTCCGAATGCCATTCAAGAGTAACGGAGAAGTCGCTCTCTCATCTTGGCCCTACCGGAGCGCAACATCACCCAGTACTTCACAAGATAGTGTGAAGATAGTATCTCGTGGCCTCAAGATAGTAACTCGTGGCCTCAAGATAGTATCTCTTTCTTGAGGCCACGAGATACTATCTTGAGGCCACGAGATACTATCTTGAGGCCACGAGATACTATCTTGAGGCCACGAGATACTATCTTGAGGCCACGAGATACTATCTTGAGGCCACGAGTTACTTATCTTGAGGCCACGAGATAGTTATAATAATTTTTTTTTTGACAATATGGGACTAGGGGGGCTCCGTAGCATCCTGAAATCATCCATCAGTGTGCAAAAAAAATCACAGAGATCTCCCACTAGTCTTGTGGAATCTGTGCATCCATCACACCATCACATGGGATAAAAAGATTACTGAGATCAACCAAAACATCTAGATTAAAGGACAGCTTCTTTCCTACAGCTGTCAAGTTTTTCAACAAACACTCCTAAAAGTGACCTCATTAGTCACCGCGCTGTATAATCTACGTTTACATAACACACTGTCAAATAAAAAAAACTATTTATCATTCTTTACCTCCTATGACCTCCTCAAATATACTGTATCACATTTTGTATATGGTTTTGTACACTGTACTGTTTATGGTTTATTATTGTGCCTTGTTCTGTAATATATTTTATAGTCTTTCCACAAGGTATGCCATGTATAGCAATAAATCCTATTCTATCTGTTCTGTTCTTTTCTATTCTACAGTTTTTTTTCCTGTGTAATTCTAGATACAACTCTGTCCACTATAGGAAAAAGCAATTCTATCATATTTTAATGGGTTTTTTTAGCATATTGTCAGGTTGAAATATCTTCATGGTTATTCTTGAGTACAGACACATTCTATATTCTCCATTTCTAGTTTCAGATCAAATTAACACATAATCCTGTCATTATTTTTTCAAAGGAAAGCCAAAATGTGGAAACCAAAACTGGGTTTCAAACATGGGATAAAATAGAGTACATCTTCACTGCCACAGGTGATGTGCATATAGGTCTACAGTATTAAGAAATTAATAAAGTGCTATATAAATGCAGAATTTTATGCAGATACACTGACCTAAAGTATTCAGGTGTCTTAACACTATGGCAGAAGGACCAGACACCAGCCATGAACTCAAAGCAGCAAACGTAACTGCTGATAAATCTGGGATTATAAGGCTGTTTTCAACTATTGCAAAGCCCATCATTCCACAGTGATACTGAATAAATAGAAAAAGATCAACATTTGATGCAGTTGCCATTAATGCAGTTGACATGGTGTGACAGGAGAGCAGGGCATGGAATAAATGAACAGAAGCAATGCTGTTAAGATGAGTTCGCCAAAATTCCTCTGAATTTGAGAAAAGATCATTTAGAAATCTTTGTTTATGCCATCTAAAAATTCTGGTATTTACCATCTAAAGTTTATAACATCTATGTCTATATTAGAGAAAACATTTTTTTATGGAAGGAGGATAGAGACCAAGCCGTTACACAACTTTTCCAAATATTGAATTCCTACTTTCTAGGCTGTATATATATATATATATATATATATATATAATAGTGTCCAAAAGTGATGTCTGGAGGGGATATTTATTTTTAATGACCCTACGAGATTTATTAAACCATTAAATTAAGAGGAAATATCTTATTTAAAAATATATATGTCAAAAATATTTTGACACCAAAAAAAAGGCAAACAAGTTACAGGTTTTATTTTACTATGCAACATTTTTTTAAATGCATAGAAAAACAAAAAGCTCACAACACAAAACATACTGTCACATTCACCTCCTTCATCTGTGTCTTCACTACACTTCCCAGCATTCCCGGTCGTCATCATCACCTGCACCTGCGCCTCATCATCCTCATCATGATCACCATCACCTGTGTCCCATCACAAGCATGGACTATAAAACACTCACTCTCCCTGCAGTTATGGTCTGGTCTTGTCATTCCATGACTCACAGACTCCCTGACACTTACCTGTCCATCTACCTGAGACGCACTCGCTCCATCTGCAACCCGAAGCCATCTTCCCCTATCCTCACCATCTGCAAGAGAAAGAAGGACATTACCATTCAGCTAAGCTTCCCTGATTATCTGTGTTGTTACTCACCATTTGTCTCCATGTCCGATCCTTTCTGCAATTAAAACATTGTAACTTACCTGCCTGTCTAATTCATCTGTGAGCCGTGACAGAAGACCAGACCTAAAAAAGTGACAGAACGACCGACCAAAACAACATGAACCCCGCAACACTTCAGGGAAATCTCCAGCCAAGTAGGCGGCCTCGTCTGATCCTCGTTCTCAGGAAGCCTGCACTTGACGCCAGTCCAGCCGAGCCCGCACTTCACGCCAGAGCTGCCGAGCCCAAGGCAGTATGCGTCATGCCCGCCACGTCTGAGACAGTAAGTGCCGAGACCACCCAGCCCGAGACCGCTGCATTTGAGTCTGCTCTGGAAGACTCGGTGCTCATTGTGGCT